CATTGTTGGCACAGGCTGAATTTGGTGATTGCAATGATTCAGTTGCTCTTGTTCAGTTTTTTACCTATTGGTGTGAACATCTGGGCGCACCTAAAGATGAAGACGAGTTTATCATTGATCATATTCAAAGTCTTCAATCTGAAATGAAAGTATGTGTGATATAATTTCATTTTTATTATTTATTGTAGTCTGAACTCTATAAATATATTGTTATATTTTAAGGGTATGAAACAAACAACTGCTGAATATTGGTTGATTAAAGAAGTCTCTGGCCTACAAAATTTTGGTGAAGAGGTGTTTGAAGGCAGAACAACAAACGGTTCTTCARTATTGGTAGGAGTTGGACCACATGGTATTAGTTTGGAGCACCCAGATCAAGTTGATCATGAAAAACAAATGTAAATATTAGTAGTGGTCAAATTAATTGTTTAGAATGGCAAAAACATATCTTTTTAGACATTGTTTAATTCAATCCTTTTATTTTAAAACTTTTGTACTATTTGAATTTAATTTTTTTTATTAATATTATTAAATATAATTTTTAGGATTCCTTATACCGYGATCCGCAGTGCTGCCAGCCATCGTCGTGTATTTGAGATGTGGTATTTGGCAGGTGTTGAACATTCCGAAACACTATTTGTATTGAAATTAGAATCTAGCCTGGGTGCAAATACTCTATATAGAGCACTTACGGAAAAACATGCATTCTATAGTTGTGAAACGGTCAGAGGGGCTGTTACATCACAATATATCAGGGATCTCAAGGTAAATATCATATTATTTTMATCATGAAAAATGTTCAGTGAATTTACCAAATTAAAAAATATTTGCACGTGTAAATATTTTTATCATCATAATTTTCTATACATTTTGCCTCCTAAATTTGAAACTATTAATTAATGAAAGTGTTCAATCAAATGCAATTTTATCAAAGATATTCCAATATTCTCTTATATATAGTTGATCTATGATAATTTTTAACTGTAATAATGTATTAAAAACTGTTGTTAATATAATAGGTTTATTTTCAGGGTACAATTATATCTATATTTAATGAAGATTCACCGTTAGGGAAGAAATATGTGTTCGACATACAGAGGACCTGCCGTGAAGTGCATGATAATGCACGCCGTGCACTTTACGAAAAGCAAAACAAAGTTACACCATCTAGCTCTTCAGTGGTACTGAGTTCACCTGAACCYGAGCCAACAACTTCAMAGGATAGCTACAAATTGGCCAAGCTCATTGATGCACTTACATGTAGAATTTGCATGGATGCCACTATTGATCATGTATTTTTCCCATGTGGCCATGTTATTGCATGTGGAACATGTGTTAAACGATGTGAAACTTGCCCATTGTGTCGAGGTGCAATTGATGAATCTAGACATGTGTTTATTCCAACTTTAGCTGACTTGCCTGGTCTTCATCATTGATGCTATAACCTAGTAAAGTATGTTCAAATCATGATGACTCGTAGAAGGTGTACTGTCGTCAAAATTGACCTCAAAGCATGAACGTCTGTGATAATGCTAATATATAAAAACTTCCTATACTTTCATACTTATTTATTTTTGTTAAAACAATTTTTWTATAGTATTGATGTAAAAAATGGAAAGGAAATTTCATTTGTATCATTTACATTTTGTTAATAATTCATTTAGTTTAAGGTAATATATTTTTAAGTATACTTTTTATACAAACTCATAATTAAATTTAAGTTTTTGTGTTACCATTAAACTATTAATTTGTATAATTCAGATTGATGACACAATTGTTTGTTTATACAAACATTTGTATACTTAATTGTTAATATTGAAGTTAAGTACAATTATGAATATAAGAAGTTAAATTTTCCTTCATAGTTTTTGTTCAAAATATTATTATTTTTTCATTTAATTTATCATTATTATCATTGTGTTGTGAAATATATAAATGGATTCAATTTATACATAATATAAATTGCGTTTGCACATTTTTATTATTAGATTTCAATTATTTAATCTAAAAAAAAAATTGAAGATGATGGGATTATCACTTTTAATTGTATTATATTAAGAGATTATAAAAAATAA